GGCCCCATGGCAGGCCGCTCTCCAGGGTTTTCCATTGTTTTTTGGCAGTTTCCGTGATTTGCGTGATTTTCATCATTCAAGTCCAATTTCACCGGCTGCCATAATTTTCCAGCCTTTTCGGCACCTTTGATCATGTCTTATGATCTTTGTTTTGTTTGCAAATGGGGGGGGCTGCGCCCCCCCCCCAACCCTCCCGCTGTTTTTAAAGGCAGCCCATGCTTGCCATTGCTCATGGTTTGACATCATATCCTCCCTGAATTTTCACAATTTTCATGTTTTCCTGGTCATAGTGCGCAATTTTCTCATCATTTTTCATCACAGCATGTGTAGTAGTTTTCCATTTGTTTCTGCAGTTTCCGTGATTTGCGTGATTTTCATCATTCATATCCAATTTCACCAGCTGCCATCATCTTTCAGCACCTTTGATCACATTTTATGATTTCGTTGTGTTTGCAAATGGGGGGGCTGTGGCCCCCCCAATCCTCCCGCTGTTTTTAAAGGCAACCTATGCTTGCCATTGCTCATGGTTCGACATCATATCCTAATTTCCCTGAATTTTCACAAGTTTAAGGTTTTCCTGGTCATAGCGCGCAATTTGCTCATCATTTTTCATCACAGCATGTGCCGTAGTCTTCCATTATTTTTTAGCAGTCCGTGGTGTTGCATGATTTTCTTTCAGCATTTGTATCAGTTTACATCAGCTGCCATGTTTTTCAGCACCTTTGATCCGGCTGTGAAGCTCTCGGACCCCACTCCTTGTAGCTTTCGCGATTTTACAGTATTTTGGGTGTTTTTTGATCTTGGGCCTTGAACCTGCGAGCCCCAATCCTTGAAGCTTTCGCAATTTTCCAGGATTGTGTTTTTTTTTGATCCTTATTTAGTGTTTTCTTTTGATCCCGCTTGTTTTTTGTGTTTTTTGATCCTTATTTGGTTTTTTGTTGATCCCTCACCCGTTCGAACGGGAATTTTTTAGAAGGGAGTATCACCAAGTTTTGGCATGCCAGGTTGTATTTCATAATGCAAGTTCACAGGTTCCCATGTCATCGTGCCATCCTGCCTAGGCCACTTGCTCACTGCATCATGGCGGCCCCAGCGTGCGGCTTGCATGGGTGATACGTTGAGCAAGCGTAAGCGCCCCCTGTAAATGCGCAGATATGCGCAGGCTTCGAGAAAGGATTCTCCTTTTGGCAAGACGCCGAGGAGGAGGTGACGTCGAAGCGGTACGTGCCCGACCCATAGCGCCGTAGCATCTCATGCCCGCTCTGACTGAAAATCCCATTCAAGCCCCAAGGCTTCTTTGGGCTATGGAGTTGGCCGGCCTCTCGAATGTTGGAATTCAACTAACTGATATGCACCATTGCGCAAAGCATGCGTGCTTTCTGCACTTGCACTAGGCTTCAGGAAGAACATTCTGTATGTTCTGGTCCGCCTGGGCTCTTCTGGTCGATAGCACCGCAGCATCCCCTTTCATTCCAGGTCTGGGTGTTCGGGGGGTCCAGACCTCAGTCGGGCTTTTGACTCGCCAACGAATGACAGAATGCGCTGGAGGCAAAGGTTCAGCTGATCATTGCGGGCTGTTATGCTGGCAGGTATGTGTTGGTACGCACAAGACCTGACTTTATAGGACCGAACCAAACCTCAGACAAGCTCAGCATCAGCCTGTTGGGATCGGTCTGTATCTGAAACACTGCCGCTTCCCGCAGCTGATGTTTACTTCAAGATTTTAAAGTTAGGTTAGTGGCTGCTTGTAGTGCCACTGAAAAAAAGCTCAAGAGATGTCGGCCGCAACCTCAGTGATCAAGTGCTAGCTTGCAGCAAGCTGGCCATAAGTGTACTCTACGTGGAGGGGCGGGCCATCGGTTTGGTTTTGCTTTTGAGATGGTAAACTAACCCAGCCCAAACCTCACACCGGGGAAACACATCTCATTTTGTAAAGTTGGGAAAGCCACACTGTCCCACCTCCAGGACCCCCACCACACCGACAAAATCCTTACCTGATTTTTGGGCTACGATTCAGCTTCCTCCCAAGATGTACAAGATCCTACAAGCTTTGAAGCCGTACTTTACACCTGACAAAGATACATCAAAGCGTGGATGGTCTTTCATCCTGCCTGGCGGCTTCCAGTCTTACAGTCTTCACAAAGTGGCTGGCTGGCTGGCATTTCCCGGCCAATCTAAGCCTAGAAGTAGGTTTGGAAGTATGCGTCATGCACATCCATTCGTCATTAGTCTGCGCCTGCCAAGCAAGCAAAGGTAAACATGCAAAGCTTCCTCCAAACAGCCAAATGAAGCGAAATGAGAGCTTCCTGTTATGGGTACTGGCAATAAACATGCCTCCGCACCTTCCGCCGCCAGACGCAGGACGACCCGCAGCTGATGGTGCAATGCGTCACGCACTTGGGCTTTCGGCCTTGCGAGTTTTTGCGTGCATGCTAGCGGCAGACCGTGCAGTGTGCGCATCATAGGGAATCATATGCCAAGACTCCAAGACTTGTCGTATGAGCAGCTTCTCACATCTAAGCCCCAGCAATCACAAAATGGTCCGTGACCCAAAACTGATCCAGGCGCAGGGCTCCTTTCGATGTCGTGCTGACAGCCTGAAGCCTGAAATGACAGCAAATGCAGAGGTTGGCGCCATCGTCATGTTCTTCGCTGCACGCATGTGCCACTTCGCTTTTGTGACGTCCATTGATGCCAGATGCCCGGACACCAGACTGGTGCATGCTCTACCTGTCAACTTCCTAGAAAAAATGCAGGCTCTCGCACTGGGGAGGCAAATGTCTGATTCAAGAAATCAGGATCATGTTTTAAGGATCCTTCTGAGAAATGGCCAGCAAAGAGGACCGGCGCCATCTGCATTGGCGTGCTGTGAGCTTGCTTAGGTGTGGTATGCCTCGCCAACAAATCGGCACAAGTACTTCAAGGCGTTCAAGGATGTCCGCCCTGACAGCAGCTTGGAGCTTGAGTTCAGGGTTGATGGTGCGTCCAGCTGTGTGCAGGAACAACTCCGCGAAACAGGTAAGGCAGATTACACAGCTGACGGCTTAGCCTGCCCTGGGAGGTGGGAGAAGGTGAGCTATGTAATGTGTACAACTCAGACACGCAAAACTTCAACTTTATTGAGCGCGTTCCACTGCCGAAACGTTCACGCCAGGTGGCTTGTGCAGCTAGCAACACATGAACTGGCAGCTTGAACCAGATTCTAGCCGAAGCTGCAACTCATTGACGCCAAGGCCTTTCTGAAGACGCATCCCGAGACAATCTCGGAAACGTTTGGCGACGAGGTTGGCTTGCCATTGACGCTGTTACAGGGAGGGTTGAGAATGCCTGCGAGCTCCTGCAATAAGACCCAAAACGTGGTTCTTAAGGAACAGTTGTACTTCCGAACTCCGATCCTCAGCCAATACAGGGCACCTCCGAGGGCCAGATGGTCAAGGCGATCGTCCTCCCTAGCTGCGTCGTCATGGCCATTGGCCGCCAGCTCGCATTTTTGAAGTGCTCAGAGTGTTTGTTGTATGCCAATCGACGCTCACGCAGTCACATTGATGGCAAACGGCCTGTAAGGCGGGATCATGATGCGATGTGGCGGTTCCTCCATGCCAGCGACCCAGCCAAGAAGAAGGAAACCATGCTTGTGGAAATGGGAGCGGGGGAGATAGGAAGGCTTGAAGACTTCTTCTAGCCATTTGCAAAGGCTTTCTCGTGGGCTCTTCATGTGGTTATGCAATACCATCCCAAGAGCTGGCACGCACCAAAGCAGGTGACGTTTGCCCTGCTAGCCTCATAGAGAGAATCAATAGATACCCAACGTGTTTGCCAAGGATAGGCTACATGTTCCATGCAGTTCGCGGATTGATGACCCCTTTCGGCCTGCTCATGGTCCTCCAGACGTGGCTCGGCCCAGTTACGCGTCATGCAGAATTTCAGCTGATGGCAGGGTAGATTGCAGGATACCGCGCAGTTAACCATGTAGAAACCAGTTGGCAACAGCCAAAAGGCAGGGGCACGGATTACAGAAGAAGGTGCTAAAACACCTTTGGATGTGACATTGGCTGGAGCCATAGCTTGTGGCATGCAACTTCCTACGTATCTCCCAAGGCCTGTGGTTAGTGGTGCGGAAGGTGGAAACAAGGCCACATGGAGCTGAACATGTGAGGTGGTTTGCAACATGACACGCGCTCAGCACAGGGTAGATCTGGCGTTTGTATAGTACACATGCGCAGCATCCTGTTCTCAGTTTGGCCTTTGAGTCTCAGAGTAGCTTGCCGCGTCCGCCATGGCTCGTGTTGCGAGCATCCTTTTCGCAGCATCGCTTCAGGCGATTGCTGCCAATGAGATCTTGCTGGCTTCCTTTGATGGTGCCGCGGGCAGTACGCACCGCTGGCGTCAGATGAATGATCCCGTCATGGGGGGCAAGTCCACGGGAACCTTCACGGTGGCCGACGGCAAGGGAATTTTCAGCGGAGAGGTCGTGGACGTCCCTTTCCTCAAAGCCCCAGGCTTCATCAAAGCATCGGTGGTGGACATGAATCCCCTTGGCCGTATCTTTCCTGACATCTCCGCATGCAAGAACATTGCTTTGACCGTGAAGTCTGAGACTGACTACAAGGGCTTCCGCTTCTCCATTGGAAACGCGCATGCTCCGGGCGGGAAGTTCTTTGCATACGGCTACAAGGCTGACTTCAATGCGGGACCTGCGGGTCAAGTCAACACTGTGACCCTCCCGTTGGCCAGCTTCACTGACTACTGGGACGATGCGACCGGCGCGGCGATCAAGACCTGTCAGGACGATAAGATTTACTGCCCAGATGCTGCGACTCTCAAGGACATGAGGACCATGGGAGTTTGGGCAGAAGGAGTAGCAGGTAAGATCCATCTCGAGATCGTCAAGGTGACGGCCACTGAGTGCGGCTCCCGCGACATGATTGTTTGATGCGCAGAGGCAGTATACTTTGCATTGCTACTGTTTTACCGGCGCCCATCGTACAGCTGGAGTCCTTGTGATCCACGGGCCTGGTGGTAGTTAGCTCATACCATCACACTCGCACAGAGCCTCAGAATCATCAGAAAAGAATGCTGCGCAGCAATTGAAAGTCCACATTTGCAAACTGGCTCGGAAATCCATAGTAGTAGATCCTGGCACCAGTTCCGGGCGCCTTTCATGCACCCTCCAAAGACCATTGTCGAACCTCGCAGCATCTTGTTCTCAGTTTGGCCTTTTAGTTTCAGAGTAGCTCGCCGCGTCCGCCATGGCTCGTGTTGCGAGCATCCTTTTCGCAGCATCGCTTCAGGCGATTGCTGCCAACGAGATCTTGCTGGCTTCCTTTGATGGTGCCGCGGGTAGTACGCACCGCTGGCAACAGATGAATGATCCCGTCATGGGGGGCAAGTCCACGGGAAGCTTCACGGTAGCCGACGGCAAGGGAATTTTCAGCGGAGAGGTCGTGGACGTCCCTTTCCTCAAAGCCCCAGGCTTCATCAAAGCATCGGTGGTGGATGTGAATCCCTCCGGCCGTATCTTTCCTGACATCTCCGCATGCAAGAACATTGCTTTGACCGTGAAGTCTGAGACTGACTACAAGGGCTTCCGCTTCTCCATTGGAACCGCGCATGCTCCGGGCGGGAAGTTCCATGCATACGGCTACAAGGCTGACTTCAATGCGGGACCTGCGGGTCAAGTCAACACTGTGACCCTCCCGTTGACCAGCTTCACTGACTACTGGGACGATGCGACCGGCGCGGCGATCAAGACCTGTCAGGACGATAAGATTTACTGCCCAGATGCTGCGACTCTCAAGGACATGAGGACCATGGGAGTTTGGGCAGAAGGAGTAGCAGGTAAGATCCATCTCGAGATCGTCAAGGTGACGGCCACTGAGTGCGGCTCCCGCGACATGATTGTCTGAGCAACTTGCTTGCTAGCAGCTACAGGCTGTTGCAAAGCCCAGCGAGTGGCATGGCGCCGTACAGAAGTAAAGATCGTGCCCCGAGAGCCTGGTCATCTGCATCTCTCTTGTGCAGAGGTGTGTATAGTCGTCCACCCTGCTTCTTTAGACTCAGTGCTTCTGATTGAGACCCCAGCCGTTGAAAGCCCGATGCAGTAACAGCACAAGCCATCCGATTTCTGCCAGCTGCAGCTCGCCAGTTAGTTAATGGGCTCCATGTAATTCTTGCCTCTTCCCTGGCTGCAGCAAATTCGAGCCGGCAAGAAAGTGTCCTCCATTGAGCTCCTCTACCAGCCGTGGCCCCAAGTAGACCAGCATTGGTGATGCAGATTCTTTGCCTGAGGGGATCCTGCATCTGTCTCGTATGCCTTGGATTTTTTGAGGGACTCCGGCATAGCTGACCCGTTTGCAGAGAATATGTAATGGGGACCATGACAGATCTTGTCTCGCGAGGGTCATGGCGGGGCATGTAGAGGTGGTTCAGAAACCTCAACTTGCAGGTGGGGAGGGATAATGTTTTACGTACAAAGAAGCTGCTCAGAGGGCCATCTGCCATGCCGTTTCAGTCTTGGGCATCATGTGAGAGCCAGATGGAGCTGGTGACCTTCACCAATCAGCAACTTAAATGATGCGCGCCAGCCAATGGCGCATTTGCATGACACCTGTAAGGATGAATTGGGTGATGCTGCACATGATCGGCTTTTTCGCTTTCCTTGGGCCAGCGGCTGGCATCCCAGAAAATCAAGCTGAAGGTAGGATGGATGACTTTATCACATTCGGCGGTGGTCTCAAATTTGGCATGCTTCTGCTCCGAGGTTTGGTTATCATAACATGCAGACAAAGCAGTCGCCAGTCTCATTAGGAGACAAGATCCAAAGTGCGGTCAAGGGTTGGTTCTCACGTTGCAAGGCATGATGGCTCTGCGGCCATAAGGTCCTGATTGAGCTGCCAGTCGCTCTTTACGAGATCATCACCGGCGCAGGTCAGCGCCCTAGATTTGGTCTAGTCTAGCTTCCTCTTGCTTGCTGGAAGCAAGCAATCCCTCCGAAGCGCTTCCGAGATCAATCATATAACTTATGCGTGCCAGATGGCCTGGCGTCCTTAGATGAGGGCATCATGGTCAAGGCCGGACATTCGTGTGTGGACGCGCGCTCTGCCATCCTACAGCATTGCAAGAGCGTTCACCTGCCAAGCAACTGTAACTAGCGCATTGAGTCGCTTCGAAACCAATTGCTCTGCATCTTTGCCAGCACTACCGCTTTCTTCTGGCGGTGATGCGTGTGGTGTGCGCGGTTCTCCTGTTGTTCTCCGCGCCCTTTCTCGTCACTTCGAAGACCAAGTCTAGGGCCCAGCCTTGCCGCTGTTCTTATGAGGTGCTGGGATGTGCTGGGTGGTGACTGTTCTGAAGATCTAGACAGCTCATGCAGCACCAGGAACCCGAACACCTTGGCTGCCCTCAAGTGGCGAGCCGAGTTTACGGCTCAGAGGGTTTCATATGACCGCTACAGGATCAACTCAACCATTCATGCACAGGGTATCGCAAAGTCTGGCCACATGCGTTGCGTCATTTGCCCAATAAGAAGATATGAAACAGGACGGGATGCACCTTGGAGCATCCAGTGTCCTTGACTGTCCTGAGTTCTGCACTCGAATCACGGTCTTCTCCTTTGGCACAGGTTTACGGTCGGTGAGTTCGGAGCAACGCAAATGTGCCCCGCTCAGAATGGCAGAGAGAGAGAGAGAGAGACCGCTTGCTTGGAGGCTGAGCGAAAGAAAGAAAGAAAGAAAGAGACCGCTGGAGTCCTGACGCGTGACTGAGATTTTGAGCGCAGGGCAGTGCCCTGGCGGAGGGAGCCCTCTCTTTCGCTGGCAGAAGAAGAAAGAGACCGCTTGCAGTTTGTTATAAACTAGGAAGTCCCAACTGCTAACATGTGGAAACGAGGGGTTAGGTTGACAAGCCAGCGAAGCCCAACAGGGGCTGGGCAGGAGCCCGGGCTGCTCCTTACGGGGGATTCCATAGCCCGCATGAAAGAAAGAAAGGAAGAAAGAAAGGAAGAAAAAAAGAAAGAAAGAAAGACCGTACAAGCTTGCTAGCTTCCAAGCTCAGGTACTTCAACGCTTTGAGCGTCTTCTTCCAACCAGGCTAAGCTCTGAAAGTGGCAGACAGAACACTGTTCTGCTCATGACTGCCAGGAGTCGGCCCCTACAGCTGGCCAGATCTCATCCTGCTTGGTCTTCTAAGTCTTGAAGCCTTCCGCATCTTCTTCGTGCACCTCGGAATGCAACCGAATGCAAATGCGCAGCAAATCAGAGACGCAGCCCATCCCAAGCCAGAGCTGCAAAGCGAATGTCGAGTTCGAAGAATTGCTGAGGAATCGATACAAGTCTAAACGTTGAGGAGTTCTCCGTACATGTAAGCAAGCCAAGAACGAAGTTCTTCTGTGCCAATATGTGCCAGTGGCAAGAACACCTGCTCTCTTGCTCTTAGTGTTTGTTTGCCAAAATCCTCTCCATATTTGTCAGACAAGTGGCAATCTGATATGCTCCTCGCTTTGTCCAGAATTAGACCTGGTGGCTGTGTTGGCATGTTGCTTGCCGTCATCTTCTACAATTGGTTTGTTGGAGCGCTGGGCTTGATTGCCCCTCCATGTAACTCATGTAATTTAATGTTTGCCGAGCCTCAGAACAATTGCCCTACGACCAAAGACGGCCCATTTCAGATGCGCCCGTTCGACATCATTTCCACCCGTTCGACATCATTTCCACGTTGCACAAATAACTCTGAGTGAAAATCATCAGCTGCATAGTTAGCTGATGAATGAACATGAGGTTTCTTGTCCATTTGATTATACTTTTCGTGGCGGCGCATTACAGCTGCTCCGCTGTGCATCCAGGCACGGGGTCTTCTGGTTGGCTCCGGTCTCATTCACTTTCACTCTTGACATGGGCAGAACACTTGGAGAGATGGGTCTCTGGACAGCGTTCCAAGGCCATCATGAATCGCTGGGACAGCATTGACTGGGCCGCTGAGATGTTGGCTGCTCAGAGTTGTCATTCAGGCCGTCACATGACCGTCCCCAACGCGAAAGCCAGGAGGTTGGAGGTCTGCACAGGGCCTTCTACGAAGCTCTAGTGGCCAAGGAAGAGGCGGGTTCCAGCACAAGGCCTGCAACTCAGCTTCTGTCGCCGCTAGTGTTGAAGGAGGGGCACTAGAGGGTCAAGAGCTCAGAGGCTCAAAGACCAGCCGACTTCTCGCCTGAGGTCCCATCATGAAAGGCCTGCGGCAACTTACCGGAGATGAGCTGACCCACATGCATGCTGTGCAGGTCCGGACACCTTTAAAGGAAGGGGAATCCGACCGACCCAGCACCTAATTACCTAATTGACATTGACTACCTGGGGAATGCTTTCATGCTGTGAGTTGTTGTCAGACATGCGGCGTCTCGTCGATTCTTGGAAGTGTGCTCTAACTCTAAGCGCCTTGCCAAGCGAGTAATGCAGGCTGGTATTCCGGACCTCTCGGAATGGATTATCAAGGCTCGATGGCCTGTCATTCGTTCATTCGGGCAGTTGGGTTGAGAGCTCTTCAGGTGTTGCCCTTTGCGGAAGTGCAGCACCAAGATGACAAGCTTGCTGTCATGACTGCACGCAGGCATCCAATTACCTGCCTGCCAGCCTTGTGGCGACCGGCTGCAAGTACGACAAGTTCAGGCGCCAAGGGCTTGCATGGCATTCCGTTTGACAAATGGGCTGTCAAAGGATGTTCGTTGAGGTAGGCTCGGAAAATGAACTTGGCGGGGAGTGTTGTGTTGGACTGTTGCCCATGGGAGCGCGCAAACTTCCATGAATGATGTGGGCCATTATCAGGCTGTTGGTTGTCAAGCCTGACAACTACGAGAACTTCAGGGCAACTGGGTGGCATTCTCTGCCATGTCTTAAGGGGGGTGGGTCCGGATGGGGTCGGTACTTCAAAGAGCGTTGGTGAGTACTGGGGAGAAGCAGGAAGTATTGGGGATAATTAGGTTCCCTGCTTGGACCACCCCACCTCAAGGACCTTGCAATTCTCCTGTCAAGTCCATTGACGTACGAGCCTGCTCAGCCTTGCCCTGTTGAAGAAGATGGTATTGACGGTATTGATTCTGCCTGCTCAGGAGATCATGTGCGCAGCACTGTCTTTCTCTAGCTTTGAGACTCATGGCCTTGACCCATGATTGTTGAGAAGTCAACTAAAGGAAGGGCAGTTCAGGCGTGATGAAGCCTGTCCAGCTTTCTTGACTGCACGGCTCCTTCTTTCCAGGCTATGGAGTTCCATGAGCTCAGTGCCGAGGACCTGAACAACTGGAACCACAACCTGTGGCTTGGCAGAGTCGTGTGCTACTGGCGGGACAGGGTGGTCTTGTTAAGGGCAGCAAGCGGCACGCGATGTGGTGTTTTGAAACAGGAGCCATAGCCCTGTACAACAATCTGCTTCTGGCAAAGCAAAGTCAAAGGTAACCATTACACCCCCGCTCAACATGAAGACGTGAATTTGGTCGAGGGTCACCTGTGCAACATGCTGCTCCTTCAAGAACAACAACAACAACAACAACAACATAAAACAACCATGGCAATCATCCGCGGCCAATTTGCAGATTGACTGGGCCCTCTTCTGCACCAATAAAGGCATCCCAGTCAACCCAGCCTGAGTGTTCCTCCCCGAGGGGCCGCGTCAGCCAAGCGCTGGAATCTGCAGACACCGTGTTCTTCCCTTATGGCTTGTACAAAATGGTGTGGGCCTGAGATGAAACCTGTTCACATATTTGGGAGAAATGCTTAGAAGCAGACTGCGGCAAAGTCTAGAGTAGCAGTGGACATGCTTCTGGCAGCAGCGGTCGTAGCCAAGCAAGCTCAGACAGCAACAGTCACCAGACAAGTCTGCTACCACTCTTGATAAAGTATATCTCAGTATCCCCTTCTAATAGTGATCTCTGAGATGAAAAGACCAACCAACAAAGATCAAATCGGTCGTGCCAGGACATGATGCACCCCAAGGCACAGCCCTGAGCGGTTAAGCTTGTGCCTACTCTTAGTTGTGCTGATGGCGCCGGCTTCTTGGCAAATGGCAAGATAAACGCGAGCAGCGCAATTGCTTAACTTCTGCTCAGGCCCTGCTGTCCCTGTCCGATTACAAGTCCGATGCTTGGGTCTCAGCTTACCTGATGAAGCCGGCGCCATGCACATCATCCTTGAATAGCTACGCACCCACACTGTAGGCTGATGTAGGCTGGCAAGCTGTGGAATGTCGATTGAAAAGAAATGATGAAGCCATTCAGTCAAGTACGGACCTGTCAGAACAGCCGACGGGCGATCGTAGAATCATGCAGGATCCCCAGCTGATGGTCCAATGTGTGGGCGCCGTGGTGGTATTCTTCGCCGCACGACTGTGCCATGCAGCATTTGTCACTTCCATCGATGTTTGGTACGCATCTCCTGCTAACCGGGTGAAGTACTATAAAGCCTTCCGGGAGAAGTATCAGAGGACAGGCAAGGCCGACTACTCGACTCTCATGAAAGTCCATCCAGAGACCATTTCTGAGACATTTGGGGATGAGTCTACATCTGAGGGCCAGATGGTCAAAGCCTTGGTGCTGCCCAGCACAGTGGTTATGGCGATCGGGGGGATCATGATGCGCTGCGGCGGCTCCGACATGTGGGGCTTTATTTGGCATGCTGCTCGTGGACTTCTCACGCCATTCGGGCTTCTGATGGTGCTGCAAACCCCAGTTGTAAGTGGCGCATCGGGCGGGAACGTTGCAATCCGTGAGGGGAAGGCAGTCTCCAACATCGAGTTGCTTTACCAGATGAATTGGGTGGCCCTCCACATGCTGGGTTTCTTCTGTTTCTTGGGGCCTGCGGTATTCATTGAGTTGCCCATAGCAATCATGGAGCTTGCCCAAGGGGACGGCATCCAACAGTCCTGGGAAGGCGAAGCCTGTATTCAAAACGCGCGCATGGTGCTTGCGGCGATGCGAGTCCTATGCGCAGTTCTTTTGCTTTTTGCGGCGCCTTTTTTGGCCAAGACCAAAACTCGAAACCCGAACACCTTGTCTGCCCTCAAGTGGCGCGCAGAGTTCACAGTCGGCGAGTTTGGCGCCACCCAGATGTACTTCAATGCCCTTAGTGTGTGGCTGCAGCCCGGGGTGGGGCCTTACAGCTGGGTAGACGTCGTTTTTCTTTCCCTCTTCGCTTTGGAGGCATTTCGGATCTTCTTCGTGCATGCCCTGTGGACCCTCATCCTCATGCTCCTGTGCTGGTATAGCACTGCTGTTTGCTCGCGTGCAAGCAGGATGCAAGACACCATTGGGACTCACTCGTACAAGCCCTCTCCATGAGTAGTAGTAAGAAGAGTAAGGCTGGAATAGCTGCAAGGTCAATGTCATGGAGACAGATCCCTGAACATGTTTTTGCTATTCCGTTGCAAGCTCTTTCTGCCTGCATTCTAGATGGAGCTTTCCAGGTCGCGGTGGAATTCTATCGATTGGAAGTCTGAGATCAGGCATCGAGTGGCTGCACATGGCCCAGTAATGCGCGGCCTGCGCGAGGCCACTGGCAATGAGCTTACTTTTACTCACGCTGTGCAGGCGCGGCTTGGGCCTGTTTTCTTTCATAAAAAAGTGTTTTCCTTTCGCAAACTCGGTCAGTCCTTCAGGCTGGAGTTCCTGACTACAGCGAGGTAGTTGTCTCTGCAGCAACATACTTGCCAGCCAGCCTTGTGGCATCCGGCAACAAGTACCCACGCCTGCCGCCCGGTGGATTTTTTCTATACAATTAGTTTGGTAGAGTCTTAGTAGAAGGGCGAAAAGCCCTGAGCTTGTCCGAGAGACATGCTGACAGGAAGCTACTGCTTCTAAAGCCGCAGAGCTATGCAAACTTTCGAGCGATGGACTTCCAAGAGCTCTCTGATGAGGACCTGTCCACTTGGCATATGGACCTCTCACGGATTCTCTCAGTTCTGCCATCATCGGATACGCTTTTCTTCCCTTCCGGCGCATACAAGATGAACATGAACGAGCCGAAAGTCCTTTTGTCCATGGACGAATATGAATCGGACCTAGAGCACATAGGAGTGTCCCCGAACCACATGCCTGCGGTAGACTCACAGGACGACATCGCGCTGGACGTCAGTGCAATGGTCTTGTCAGATCTCCGGGCCGCATTTTTATCTAATACCTCCTTTGCGGAGAGCATCCGTCAGGGTATGCCCATGGCGGTAAGCCTCTACAAGCTCTTTGGTGACATTGGTCTTCAAATCCAGGCAGCCATCGATGCCCAGCAAAAGGGCTTGCAGCACTTTGACAGCGATGAGGAGGCAGCATGGTCTGAGGCAGAGTCCGACGAAGACGAGCCGCTGGTCCGAACAGATTTACCCATGGCCTTTGAAATCCAGATCCGCGGAGTGCGGCGAACTCCACCCTGTGTGGTGCCTCTGCTGCCATTGCCAAGTTGTTCGGTTTTTGGGCTTTGTTCCAGAACCATTCCTGCCAACTCAGCACCAAGGTTTTACGTGTTCCAGAAAAGCAGCCACTGCCTTCGAGTTGGCAGTTCCTGCCTCGCATGGAGCCAATGCCGCCCTCGGCCAAATGACCAAGCATGCACACAGGACACGGTGAGCGTGACACCGCTGGCACGACGTTGTGCTGCCTGCTGTAAACTAGCAAAATGGGCTAGACGATGCCAAACTTTGCCAAACAAAGAGTTGGCAAATTCAGATTATTTGCAGCGGCGGGTGCATTCAGTTGCCTTCCATGCTTACTTTACGGCAGAAGCATCATAGTAGGAAGTCAAGAGTAGAGGCTGTGGCGAACAGAAACCTGCGACAGCATACGAAGGCAATTTGCGTTTCTGCTAGCCCCGTATCAGGATGCGCAGTTGAGATGATTCAAAAAAAGTATCGAATGAGGGATCTACAACTGCACACGAGTGAGACACAGAGAGAAAGATAGAGGGTGTTCAGAGAGAGGTATTACGCCTTTGGAGTGTTGAGCCAGTTTCCCTTGCAGATGGTGGTCCAATGTTGTGTAGTACTCCGGTCCTCCTGGAGTGACGAACAGCTTGACATTTGCGCAGGCTGGGGGTTTGCCCCTGCAGGGCCCTTTGGTTTTGCGTAGCCCATAGCAGAGGAAGAACAGACAGAGAGAGCGAGAGGAAGAGAGCTTGGTTTGGCAAATGTACCTGTCCCAATATGCCCAGTAACCGGGGCCTCAGCAGTGAAGACTCGAACAATGGAGAGCGCTTGCTTGGAGCTGTGCTCCGGCCTCCCTCTTTGGAGGGGGGTATAGCAGTGAGAAGAAGAAGAAGAAGGGAGAGAGCTTTTACTAGTATAGTCAACTGTCAAAGCCTAAGTCCAGTAAAGAGGGAAAGTTTCACAACCAAGCTGAGCAGGGGGGACAGGGAATGAGCAGCCACCATAATGCAACAGTTACCGGAATAGGAGGGAGCTATTTGTAAGAGTATTTGTAAGGTATAATTCGTCAGTTCCCCGCAAACTGATGAGCAGCGCAGGGGGTTCGAGGGACAGCCCGAGCAGGGCTTTTTGGCTTTGCATAAGCAAAAAAGAAGGAGAAGAGCGAGAGAGATAGAATCTCGGGCATGATTTCCTGCCCAGGTCCAGAGGATAAGCGCCGAAGTCGTCCCGAACCAGGCTGCAGTGCCCGGTGGAGAGGACTCCGGATACGTACTTACTGTCGGCTTCAGCCTGCATTCAATAACAATAAGACAATAAGGACTAGTGTGTTTCTGGGGTCCCGGAAAATTTGGTACCGCAAACCAGCCACTGTGCATGATTCTGAACGAGACAACATCACACAGGACCATGTTGGCATGGACATCACAGAGAAAGTCACCGCCTTGCACAGGGTCTGCAGCATGCAGGGACAGCATTGGAAGGGCAAACACTTAGTGCACCCCCCCAGCATGCCATGCGACCAAATCGCGTGGAAAATTACAAAAAGCGTCACAGTACCGAATGAGCCATATCACTAGTTTCCGGATGTCTTCAAGATTGGAACCTTAACTGTAGTCTTAGCTTCCTGTTTCCAAGCAGCCCAGAGATGTTTTGCTCAGGTTCTTGCAGATCCGCGGGGGGCCTTTCTGGCCGGCCAGTCCTTAGAATCAGCCCTGCAGGCGGATCAGGGCTTGAGAAGCAAAGCGCTGGGACATGTAGACCTTTGTGATTGTTGCTTCGCACATGAATTCAGCCTTTGAGCTTGACAGGTTGAGGTTTAGGAAAAACGCCTCTCAATCAGCTATTGGTTTCGAAGCTTCACACTGTAGGCAGGAAAGCTCGCCAAAGCTCAAGGGAACTACATCGTTACATCATGATTAGCCTTTGTCCTTATCCAGGAACCCGACAAGGCTGCCCTGGGCTCAGTACAAGACAGCAATCGGGGTCGAGCCAAAGACTGCCGGTTGAGCAGCATGTCGTGAACATGTTATACCGGCTACCGAACTGCGTCGCTCGCACTTCCACTTACAACACAGATCAACAATGCATGGAGAGCCGTGGCACAAGTCGAGCCCAGGTCGGCTTGTATGCGCTGATGAGCGAGATGTGCCAGGAGACGGCAGAGGCAAATCCCCAGAAGACGGAGACACAGGCGGGAGAACTCTTTTCCGGTTCCTCGGGGGATGGGGTGTGAATACATATACCACAAGCCTTGCCGTCTCAAGCTAGGTAACCTCAAGACGTAATGAGATGTGGATGCTAGAAGCTGTGTTGAGGTTGGAACTGGCAGATTCTTATGCAGATTCCACCCCAAAGCTTGCCCGGAACGTGCGTCTGGCACCTGCATCGTGCGACCCACAGGTTCTGGAGGGCTCCGCGAAATTGCCTTTGTTGGTGGATATTCCGAACCTTGCCTCGACAGATGGACCACTGTATTGATCTGCGCAATGGCGCAGAGATGCTCCGCATCCTAAGCTAGACTCAAGGCACATGAAAAAATATGTCTCTGAACAATAGAGTAACCACACAGACACAGGGGCGCACCAATCCCCGCCCCTCACAAGACTCGTAGCCGCGCTAGGGCATTGAAAGCAAGCTGAGCGATATCTGTCTTACAGGTTACAACTCTGTGGTCATCAGCTTTGGCCAGACTTTGGACGAGATTTTAGTTTACTGGCCCGGGCACACGAAGCCATTTCTGTGGGCCTCAAGCTCACCTCGAACGAACAGGGCACGTCCTCCATGGATTTGGGCCCAATGAAATTTGAAGTTTATGCCACATCACAGAGCCAGCTGTGTGTAGATAGAGTGGCAAGTTTGGCGCCCCTACACTCCGAGGACTCTTGGCTTTGAGTTTCAGATTCGCGGCATCAAGAAACCCAAGCCCACTATTGTCATGCGCTTCTGGGCTGCATGGTTGAAGAAGCACCTGGTTGGACGGCAAGTCTCAGCAAAAAGACTTTCCCAAGGTATTCCAAAAGAGCAAGCGATACCAAAGGCGTGGGGCACACTTCCCAAGGCCCAGCCACAGTTGGTTAAAGCAGGCGACTGCAACGTGTCCGTAGCATGAGAATCCACCTCCGAGATGGCTGCTGCCTGGTTGTGAGGCCACAGCAATGCCCGACTCCACCAAGTACCCGGCCTTGTTTGGGGATTGGCTTTCGCAGCGCATGTTCACGCCGCATGTTCCGATAATTCTCCTCAACTCACACAGTCCATGCTGTGCGCAAGCAGCACTCCAGCCGAAGCGATTCTGCTTCGGGTCGCCGCAAGATGCATCCATGTGCTTGCATGACAGGTGATGGTGATGGCGTCACCTATCATGTCATAGGCGCTCTGAACTCCTGAAGCTGAGACTTTCAAGCAAGAGACTAAAGCAATGGATTAGGCTCAGCTTTGGGAAAAATCTGCGCGCATCGTTTAAGAGCTTCCTCAGGGGATCCGGCACATGCTGCTCAGCATCCCGGTCCCTACAGGAGGACCGGATAGCCCTGCAAGCGCAGAAAGAAGATCCCGCAGTCCTGCAAGTTCTGGGAGCTCACTATTCGCTGAGCAGCGGCCGCCGCAATGATGACTTGCAAAGTTCACGAGGTAGTGCAAAGAGCCAGTTTCCATCGCCGTTCTAAGGTTACCATCACCTTGGTTGCCACAAGTTGAAGGTTCGGGAACTGAGAAGTAGCTTTAATGGCCGTTGAAGAAAAGGTGCATTGCTGCCAAAAGCCAGGTGCCTCTAGCAGCAGAACTTCTTGGATATGCCAGGTGAGAGACATTTGCAGTTAGCTTTTTGTCATCTGGATTTTTTGCAGGCAGGCCTGCATGTCCTCTTGCTAGCCGATGGCTCGGCACAAAAACAATCCCCTACAGCACTGGGGAGCCCATGCTTCCCAGGCCTCCATGCAGACAGCTGGATGGCCAGAGCTTCAACGAAGGTCCTCGCTAGCCTGAGGCTGAGCTACTTTCAACATGGCGGCTCTCCGCTCTACATTTTGCTTTTTGGCACTTGCACAAGCACCATGCCCAAATCAACATGAGGTGGCTGACAAAATCTGTGCATCACAGCAATTTTGTCACAGACATGTTGCTTTCCCAATCCAGTTGGCCTCTGGTTTGTCACGGAGGTCTGGCTCTCTTCTCTGTTCCTGGGGTTGGAGCACACAGGACTGCATCCAGGACTGCATCTGGGGAGAAGGGGATGTCAAGGGCGCTATGTTCGGGATTGCTGGTAGGCGGTTGATGCACATGCACTTAGCAAATTCCGTGACCTGGGAGGTATGACCGGCTCGATAGCGCCTGTGCTTGCGGCGTTAGGGTTCAGCGCCACGCCTCAAAGACTACAAATCAACAAGCAGACCTGGAAGTAGATGGTGAATTTGCATGACGACTAAGGTTCAGCAGCAATGTGGCCTTGAACCTAGGCGTCAGCTTAGAGACGCATGCTCGTCCAGCGAAATATCCTGGGGGCATGGGCTGAGGCACGCTTTGGCACGCACAGCTTGGCAGCTTTGGAGGCCATCTGAAATTCCGGCATGCCGTGCCATTCTGCGCTTAGCAGTAGCACTGGGACATTTTGAGACGTTGAGCAGGTCATCCCAGGAGTTTGCTCTCTCACTGGTTGCTGCCGAGTCCGGGCCGCACAGTGTGCAGAGGCTCTTTGGGTTTGATCCAAAGAGGTCCACAAGCATCTCCTTTGGCTTAGGCTAGCCACCACTTTGCTTGCAGCCTTCTGCGGAAGACTTGCCACTGGGCAACAAGTCAAGTTACTCCTTGCTGCAGATTTTCAGTCCTGTGCCATCCCAAACGGCATGGTTTCACCTTCTAGATTCTAGATGCACTCGCTCAGGTTTGGAGCTTCGTAGTATGGTGCTCAGGCAAGCATTCAAGAAGCAAATACTCGGCGAACTGCAACTTAGTCTCTGTGGCTGCATGGCCAAGGTGTCAAGCCTGGCAAGGCTGAAGAGGGCACGCTTCTCAGAGCGCACGTGAGCGACACAAAGCGTACCTCGTGTGCATGGGCAGCAAGCTTACAAGGATACCCCTTTAGGATGGTCATTTTCAAAAAATTAACACAACTCAATACTTCACACAGCAGTCAGGGTTGAGGTTGAGGGTGCCTCTCGTGCCAGCCACGAAGCATTCTCAAATGACAGCACGTATCAAGAGAATAGGCCAGTACCAGCAAGAGAGCCCAGCAATATTGGACCCCCTTACACCAGACAATTGCCGGCATTATCCGCGCCATGCAACGGGCGGTGCGGAGAGACTGGCTGACAGTAGGTGTGCTGCTCTCGGTGAGCATGTGGCCAGTGCTTCAATCAGGCAGCTTGTTGATACAGGATGTCTTTTCTCAAGCTTCATGCTCTTAATTAAATTCCGAGACAGAATCCCATGCAAGATTGCAAACGCCAGCCCCTTCGGGCGCCTCAGCCACCTGTGCCCGAACAGGGAGACCATGAGTGGGCAGTTCGCATGTGTGATGCTCACAGCGAAACTGAAACGAACCAGGACGAAAAAACTATTGGCGTCGCCGCCATGCCCAACAAAACTGTGCCAGCAAAGCCTTCTGCCGCTCGCAACGTTGCAAAAAATCCCTCGTTTAGGCAGATGCATGTGATCAAGCTCATGGATGTTGTCAGAAAGTGCACAATCAGGGGCGGCGGAGCAAAGTTGTATTGAATTGTATTGTCAATGTAGCGCTCGGCATCACATCACTGGGCTCCGCCCCTGCGAAAAGAGATTCTTGAGGTACCAGGAAGCAAGTCATCAAGCCTTATTCAACACCGAAGTCAAAGAAGGCCCAACGGCGTCCCCGCTTGGAAAGTACCAGACGCGGAGTTTTCTTTGCAAGTCTGAAGTTCCGAACGCACGGACTGGCAGCGAGGGAGCAACGGACATGCCCAGCGCAAGCTTGACTAGATCTTGAAGTTGGAGCCTGTTCTGCTTGTTCTAGACGCCTGTTTGCCAAAGGCTGTCGCAATTGCTTGCTTTGATCAAAAGGGGGCAGAGGGCAGCTTGCGCAGAAAGGTAACCTATGGTAACCTGCTGCATTGTTCTAAAGGTCCTTGTCTTCGGTTTATACTTGGACGACCATTTCAGCTAGTTTAAAGGACTCGCGAAAGTTTCGCGAAAGAAGACGCGAAAGGATTACACTTTTTCGCGAAAGATGTGTGATAGCAG